TATTATTTAATTAAAGAACTACTACGTTACATCACGTTAGTTACTTACGTAATCACTCTGCATATTTTAAAAATACAATAAAACTAATTTATATTTTCTACGCGACTGTCTTCTAAGTCTGAGGTTAATGTGAGTGACGTGCACGCGAGTCTTTCGCCCTCTCCGCCTAACGTGCTCCGTTCTAATACTTGCCATTTTCTAGCTATTTTGACTTTAATTTTAGATTTTATCTTTTCGAATTCCTTCGAACTAAAGAAACTGAAGGCACGAACCTAATTCTTAATAATATACCAGAATTGGTATAGTAGTGAAATTCCATTTCCCCCGTGCCAGGGCATTGAACACATGTCTGTGTCCGTTCTTTTACAGGCAAGTAGTTGATCAGACTTCTGTGCCCTGCCCGGCCGGAAAACATCTTTTGTCCATGGGATCCGAACCCAGGACCTGTCGCACTGAATGTATTGCATGTATGTCTTTTAAGATGTACTCACAAGTTTCATCGAATACTTAATTTAAAAATCGAAAAAATGCTCGACTCGGGTAGGACTTGAACCGACATTGTCAGCATTCCGTGCTGTTGCTCTACCAATTGAACTACCGAGTCCAACACCTCATCGTCGAATTTTTTTTAAATTGATACATGCATCTCTCGTGCAGTGGTAAGAGCAACAGCACGAAACGCTGACGATGCCGGTAGAAGTCCTGCCCGAGTAGAACATTTTTCGATTTTTAAATTATATACTTAGTCATTATGTACAATAACATGTGAAAAATATTAATGTTTTCAAAAGTTCATCGTTTTTATGGTAACTAAATTTACTTAGTCGAAATATTTTATATGGCAAAAGAGCGTTTTTCCATTTACATTACAAGTATGTGATTGTAAAACGAATCGAAAGGTAATATATTTTAAATAGGCCTCCATTATACTCAACAGTTTTCTCATTTTCTTTTTCACTTTTCCCGAAGGTTATCTCCGTGGAGTTCCCCTCCGTGTTAAGACGCGTTTATATTTCATTTCTTGGGGCGAGGAAAATAATTTTCCTCGAGCTTTGAACCTGCTTCGAGGAAAATAACAGGTTTCGAAAATCTAATTGGATTCACGATGAGTCTCGTCGTATCTTATTAAACTAAATGCGTAGATACTCGTATGAGAAAATATTGCTAATGAAAACTGCCTTCAGGAATGATATTGTTTTTCGATAGAAAATAAATAAGTTTGTAGATGTCTGACACAGTTCCTATTGGATAAAATACTAGCTGATCCAGAAAACGTTTTTTCCATGTTTGTAAGATTATTATTACTATGATAATTCAATTGTAACAAATAATTGGTAATTATGCATTTATTTCGACCAAATTTGATTTGGTACTATAAAAACTGTTCTTGCTAGTTCATCTTAGAAGATAGAATTATACTGTCACGGGCCTTTTTTTTTTATATTTCAAGAATAATTCATTCATACATAGTTTTTTTTTTATTTCTTCAACCGTGTTCGCAGCACACGCAACAGAATCGAGGGCTTCTGTTGCGACCACTGCGCGCATATGAACAATGAGTTTGATGAATAATTTTCCCGGCTTTTTCTCATTTACCTCTTCTTCGCTCCTATTGGACGCAGTCTGATCTTTTATAGCCTAAAGTCTTCCTCGGTGAATTTTATATCAGATATAAAGCTCAGAAATATTTAAACAACAACTGTATTCAATAAAATACTTATCACATACTAGTTGAAATAAAACAAAAGTCAATGTAAATATTATTTATTTCAAATACTATAAGTGCTTATGGTAACCAATGATACAATAAGACTCTTTTAACGTCACTTTACATAGAATCTATGACTTAAATTAGTTATAATATCACCATCTCTTGCCAACCGGTCGCCAGCGCAATTGTGAGCTTAGCCAAGTCTTTCGATACTCTCAATCTTAGCCTAAAAACTATCTACATACATTACTCTACCTTAAAGTTAAGAGGATACCCACAGAGGCAAACATCAAACATATTATACATAATACAGGTGAGCCATAGTTTTGTGTCTGCGTCAATATTTTATTCGATTCGATTCTAGTTATTCAAAAACTACGTCACACAATCATTGAAAATTAATAAATTACTTAATTATAAATATAACATCATTTCCCAAAAGGATTTTCGAGAAAACTGAGTCGATAAACGGAAGAGGGTAGTTTGTACTTATAGAATATTATTTCTATTTGCCTTAGGGTATCCACAATTATCCTAACCATCTATCTATACACAGAGGCACACAATACTTATTCCTAAGCGTCGTAAAATAACTTACCAAATCTATTGAAATTAAGACAAATTTATTTATCGTTCTCATAAAGCAGATAAGTTGGTGGAAACATTCGTTAATACAGTTAGGCATTGCAACGTTTTAGTTAAAAACTGTCATAGTCATTTATTGATAGTTTTAATTGTTAAATAATACCGTATTACGCTAGATTAGATTATAGGGTAGAATACATTTTAATTTATTAAAAACTTTGATAAAAAGAGATAAAAAACAAATGTTTTAAATGTCCTGCGCTCAAAAGTATGTTCTGGAGTTCACAATAAGGAAACCTTATATTTCCTGTTAATATGTCTAATGAGGGTGCATAGAAATCAACAATGATTTCATTATTTACAATTAAACCCAATAAGAGCATTCACTATTTATACTTATAATAAGTAAACAGAAATACAGGGTTATTTGTGCAAAACAAAAATTACATATAGGGTGCTGATTTTAACAATATTTTGGATATCAGATTGTATTTAAGCGAATCAGCTTAAATTACTTAAAATCAGTTAAAAGAAAAAAATAATAACTTTTAGGCATAACAATATTTCATTTCAACACATTCGAAAACTTATCCAATTATTTAAGAATATACGTATGCCGCAAAAGTCAATCCAAGAACTGAGTGTGAAGAAGTCTCATTTTTTTTAAAACACAAGGCAGAAAGCACTTAATTTAAAATTATATATATGTAAATACTAAAAATATACATATGTATATTTTTTCATTAGTGCCTTCTATTTGTAAAACTTTGTCCGTTCAATTCCTCTTCTAAAATAATACAGTGAACGATTCAACATCATTCCCTTTTTCCCACAGGGACTTCTGAATTAAAGGAGGCTACATTACAAAATGATTGCAAATGTAACGATTTGTTCCTATTTGTCTTTAAAAAAATTATCGCGGCTCAACCTTTACTGCGACATACATATTGAATGAATAACTTCGTCAATTTCAAGTCAATTATTTAATACTATAGGCGGCGATCCGACCAAACGTGACGTCACTAGCTTATTTATAGCTATTTTACAAAACATACTAACAATTGATTTTCCATTACAACACTCAAAAACAACTAAAATGCATTCAATGAATGAAGAATTGTATTAAGGTAAATGCACACGATTGCGAGTATAAAAAAATCAATTGTTAAGCCTCAAACAACTCGGTCACTATATGATTTAATAAAGAGTATTAACTACTAAGCGACTAGAACTAAAAACCTAACAAAGCCATCCTATGTTGTCATGAAACTATTCTGTTTGAGGTACTAAACGTACTGCTATACAGTTATAGTGTAAAATTGAAACAGTCGTCGGTTGTGTCGATTCGCCGAATTGAATCAATAGCGTTGTCTCTTTCCCACAATCTCGTATACCGAACAAAGACACAAAATATTCAGAAAAAATTCCGAAACATTGACGTGTCAGGTTGACCTATTAATTCATTTCGGTGAATATATATATAAAAAAAAATATATATATACAGCAGCTTTTCCAGCTTTATTTTAACAAGTTTATTGATATTACATGATACAGTATGTATTTTGCCGTGTGCCCATGAAAACTCGAAAAAGAAATGTACAACCCGAGTGTACAATATAATAAATTTTGTTTAAATCCAATGAAGACTCTAAAAAATAAAACAAAAACAAAAAAAGAAGAATAAAATATATATCAATGCAACAGCATGCAATAGAATTTATTGATATCTTAATATCGTTGTTGTGCTTAGAAAATGACGTGTACACAAAAATAGATTGGCACAAAAATGTTTAAGCCATTTGTAATCTTATCGCAAAGGTACATATAGTACCTTCTAATCTGTTTTCAAGAGTTAACCCGAAAATGTTTGCTCTTTTATATGTATGTAAGCATTTAGCGACATTATGTATATATGAGACTAAATTTGTATAATACATGTTTAGCAGGAGCTATAACAGATCGCTCCTCACAAACTCAAATAGGAAAACTATATCCCAACACAAAAAAAAATCCAATGAAAAACGAAAAGCGGTGATTATATTTCGTATCACAGGTAATTTTGACCTAGCTTTTAAATTTGACTACCGCCCTAATCTATTATATACAATGTGTATAGTTTATAAAAGATTTGCACGTGTTCCTTGAGTGAAGACTAAGGTTAGGTTGTTTCAATACACATTACAAATTTAAAATACGTTAAAGCGAAAATTTCGGAAACACTTTAAAAGACGATGTGAATGTCTGCTTAAATGTAATTGAAACAACCCGCCCATCGCTTATAAATTAAAGGCCACCGAAACGAAATGAAAACGTAAACAAATAAGCTATTACTGAGTATCGTAAAGATACCTTATCCTTGAATAAAAATCTTTTGTGTTTTTGACAACAGTTGTGTCACCCGTGTGGTTGACCGTACTAGAAACAACAATACTAATTATCCTTTAATAGAGGTACTTAAAAAAAGGTTATGCACCCCTGTCTTCATGTCGTTCGGTTGGCCTTACTAGTGTCATTAGATTCGGGCATTTAAAAAGTTTTCGTGAGAAGTGTCATATATTAAACTTATTGTAGAAATCCATTTGGTTTCGCATTCATCACAGCACCTAACACTATGTTAAGGTCACTTTGTCTATTGGGAGTCATTTGGCTCGCCTTCCGTGGCTTGGGCACAGTCAGCCGTGGTCTCCACCACGGGGGCCTCGGATCAGATGCTCCGCAGCTCGACCAGCTTAACGTCCTTCACGTGCAGGTTGTGCTTCGATTTGGCTGCGAATTTGATGACCGCTTGTGTGGATACCAAGGGGACATGTCGGAGATCCAACCTGGAGAATTAAAAGAGTATTTACTAAAGAGAAGTGATTGAGACTTGTTGAGTATTTTTTTTAATAAAAGATATAAACTGTGACATTAAATAAATATCTTTTGGATTTAGAATGAAAAAATTGCGGCACGGGCAGGATTTAAACCGACATCTACATACTCCTCGCGCAATGTAATTTCAACCTTATCACTTGCGTCGTAAGGTTCAGTGTCTTTACGGCTTAAGAAATCATTGAAGATGAAATTAAAGTTTGAAAAGCTTTTTTTTAATGTTTGCACTTTGTGGCATTATATACATTAAATAGATACATAGATAGACTGAAGTAACAGAATCCGTCGCCTGAATCTTAAGAGTTCATTTAAGCTCTACATCCCTTTGGAAAATAATTTACTAAAATATTTATTACACACACAGCAACTTATCAAAATCCTCATACCTATTTTCTTTAGACAGTGAATAACTACAGACAATAACTTCTTACCGCACTAGGTTAGGACAGCGAGTGAGATGATCCAACGCAGCTTCTGTCAGAAGTCGACACCCAGCCAACGATAGCCTCTGAAGACCGTGATGAGCTAATTGAGCTGCACCGGCATCGGTCAGTCGGGCGCAGGAAGACGCATCTAGTTCCACTAGTTTTGGTAAAGCCTATAAAAACAACCGACATTTTTATTCCCGACGTATGTATGAAGACTTCTTAAACCTTGAGTACTGCTGTTGGTAACAGCTGTTAAAGGCGAAACAGAAACTGGTTTATACTAAACAGTACCTTTTTAGTACTTCATTTGAAATATCAACTAGTACTATTAACGGCTATTAGCTTTTAAAGGTAAGCTTTTCTTTTTGTTTTCTCTTATACTTCAGGTTGCCTAGAGATCGCTGGTTAGCGATAAGGCCGCCTTTTATCTATAAGCTTAGTGCCTAAGATTATTCTCTCTTTTATAGTCTATTATAGTAAAAATGTTAAATGCAAATTGGTGTTCCAACCCTTCTAAAGTTTAAGAAGGACTTGATTTTCCTAATATGGAAAACAATATTAGACTATCGCGTACCTGAACAACATATCGCATAGCCACATCTGTAATATCAGTTCCCGGAAGCCTCAGTACAGCAAGAGCGGCCAATCGAGACGGTTCTGTACCAGAACGCGCCCCACCCCCCGGCCTCGAGTTCTCCGGTGGCGCCAGAATACCGCGTAACTTGGCATCGTCCAGACACCGCGCGAAAGACAAATCGAGTGAAGTTAGTGGTGGACACGAGCTGGATCGAAGAGCCAGAGCTGCTTCAGCGGGGGGAACCGGCCAAGAGAGAGATCGAAGTGCCGGCAGACGAGCTAGTAACCTAAAAACAAAAGAAGCAATCCTTATAAATTGTATAATAAAATAATAAGTCTTTAAAAATATAAAATAAAATGATACAAAACTAATTAATAGGAGAATTTGAATAAAAATCTTTAAGCTTACAACGCTAAATATATCAGTGAGGCCCGATAATATATATCACATTTTAAACTGTAAAAAGCTATTTATATAACTACTCGCTTAAACTGACGATGATGACTTCCTTCACTGGGTTGTTTTATTTTTTATATTCTTTAATGCACACATGTATTATCTAGCTATAGAAATACCTCAAAGAAAATAAATAAAGTTTCTGAAAATGCCCTGACGTAACGTAACTGAAAGTTTCATTTAAATATATATTTTAGATGGACATTCGATTTGTTAAGTATCCAAAGCCAAAATACAGACGTCAGCGCATCGTATTAGATCTTATGGGGTTTTTCACCTACTATGAAATGACCCCAAGCTTATCTGTCCTCCTCTATCATAGAAATATGACATTAGTGACTGTAGTTTTAGTTGAGTGTAACTCCTTACCAAGCCAGCTGTCTTCGTGCTAGATGACACCATTCCAAGCCCAAAGATAGCGGCTGCCTCCGTGCTATACCGGCCAATTGAGCTGCCGACACACGCACTTGCACGAACGACATGCTACGCCATAAACAGGGATCCATCTGCAATTAAACGTCTCTTGATTATATTAGAAACATCTTTTTATTCTCGAAATGGTTCATGTATTTTTTATATCTGTCAATGTGTTATACCACTATATGTGTAAATCATACTATTTGTCGCAACTTAGATATTTCAAAAACTCACCGAGTACTCAGCCCAGGCCTTACACACAAGGGCACAAGTGGCCAGCTCGTGCGGGGTCAGCTTGGCGAACACACTCAGCATGGCGTCGCGGTCGAGCCAGGGGGTGCCCGCAAAGTTTGATATCGCTACTGGCGCTGGCCGAACGGGGTATAACGGTTTCTTAAGTGCCTGGATTTAAAAGAAATAAACATTTTAAATAAAGTACTCTTAACGGTCGGACCACCTCTGTAGGTTAATGGTTGAACGTTAAGCGCGAGAGGACCTGAGTTCGCATCCCGGGAAAACAATAAATTGTTTCGGTTTCAACTAATACGATTTTAACAGACTATAACACTTGGTCCTTGTCTTGTCCCAATTACATTTGTTTATACTGATAGCCGATTGTGTAGCTAAATGGTTAATTGTATTGGATAATGCTTTCCTTTGCATTAAGCGCAAGAGTTCCTGGGTTCAAATGCAGGAAAACCATTAGTTTGTATCGGTCGAACAGGGCAACTACTAGCTCGTCCATATGTATTTGCCCTATACCCCACGAGGGCGAACGGGATTACACTTTATTATTTAGCCCCTATAATGTGCCCAAAATTTATAAATCATCATCAGTAGTGATGTTACAGTTACAATACTCTACCTTAGAAGAGTGATGGGTCAGCTGTATAGCGAGATGGGCCCTGAGAGCTTGTTTCTTGGGCGCCTCGTCTTCGTCACTGGCGCGACGTCTCTTATTTGTCGGCTCCCAGTCTTCGCCTCGTTCACCACTGTCTCCGGCCACCTCGTTGCCATCTTCGTCGCGTTTGTCGTCTTAATAATAGAATAATATTCGTTTTATTGTATTCTATTTCGTACAAGTTCGCAGGAAATACAGTTGCGAAATGCGCGGGTGCAGGGCGACTGGACTTTTTGCTCAAAATTGCCAGTACCATGCGCAAGATGGCGGTCGCGCTAACTGCCGCAGCCCGGCCAAAAAGTTTGGAGAGAACTGTATACTAGCTATCCTATAACTATATGTATCGTATTATTTGCCATATGAAGTATTTCGACTAATTTGATTACGATAAAAAAGGTTCTTGTAATGTAATCTTAAACATAGTCAAAGACAGTAAAACGTTTTGTTTGTTTTACTGTTTCTTCGCTCCTATTAGTCGAGCCTGATATTTTATAGTAGGTAAAAAGTCTTCCTCGGTACGTGAAACAACTCAACCATATTATTTTAGTTCGAAACAGTAGTTTCTCGCGTTCAAACAAACTTTTAAACTCTAGTATAGAGGTGTACAATACGCATTTTTAACAATTTAAAAGATTTTAGATAAATTATGAGGTGTGCACTTTGATGTTCTTTCACCACCGAAGGCGGGCCAATATTGATAAAAAATACTTTCAATGTAGCTAAACAATAATTACGTTCCACTTACCCCATCTCAGTTTTAATAGGCACATCGCTTTTGTTGTCTCCGTCCAAACTCGTGTCCGTCTTCATAGAAATCGAGGATGGTGGTGGTAATTTGTTCTGAAATAAAGAAGCATTTGATACATTTTAAAGGTTTAAAACGTAAAATAATTAATGAGCTAATTTTAAAGGGTTTTCAGCTGTTGTGTTGAATTTCTATTTTTCATTACCTATTATTAGAAATTAATATACAAAGCAAATATCGATGGCACAAATGACATTTAGCCGAATGTTAATAAGGTCCGTATATTACATTGCATTAGATACAAACAAAAGACAAAGAGATCTAATAAGTTGTACATACATATATAGGATTATAATTTAATGTTATGACTTACCTGCAAATGATTCTGACTCAGCTGACTAGCATCGGAGCTGACACTCATGCGGCGCAGGTCTGAAGACTTTTGACGTGCACGGAAATGACGAGGCTGTCGATAAAACAAATGTTTAAGCAACAAAGTTTACCTTTCAAGAAATGATAGAAGAGAAAAAATAAATAAAACAACACATGATGTCACAAAAATTGCAACCACGAAAAAAACACTTGTCGCACTAAACAACGTTATTCATAATAATATGACATTTATGCGATATAGACAGAACTATTTATTTATTTGGCTAAAAAACTTAATTATAATTAAAAATAATGTAAATCTTTTACAGCACACCACACGTTACAAATAGAGAATAAAAAGGCAAGAGAACAGAAACGTGTGTTCGTGGGCTTAGCGAAGTTGTATTTTTTTGACAAAAATCCGTAACATATTTTTTGTATCACACCAAAGCAAAAATGTGTCTGCGACATCATACCTTGTAATCGTGGTTCAATCCCATTGAAGTACAGGTGGGGCACTCCCACGAATTTGGCAGGTCCTCGTTCAACTGTCCACCAGCAGGCACGCACGTTTCGTGAACTATGCTATAGCATACAGAGCACTCACGCAACAGAGACGGCCCATTGCGACCTGCGTTTTATATATTAAAAAAGAATACATTAAAATTATACTTTTTTGACAAGAGTCTCAAAACAAATTAAGTCATTTATTTCGGGTCACACCGATTATACACACAGCCTTTAATTGACCACTATTAAAACGATATGCATATAAAATAAAAAAATAACATTAGTTATATGGTCTGTGACTAAAGAAGCCTTTGTTTTATTATTCTAGGCTAATACCTGAGTTGCCTTTAGCTTGTGGGGCGACTGGAGTTTGCATCCATCCATCCAAGTGGCACACCGCACAAGACGCCGTTACTGGCAGCATTGGCTGAAAATTAAAAAAATATATTTCCAGATTGTTACTTCTGCTTAGTAGTTAAACATGCTGCCTAGCTTACCATTGTGAAGTACTTGGTTCAAATCAAGAAAAGAATCATAAAGAATTCATACAGGCCATAGTCATTATCGCTTACTTGTTTAGCGATAATTACTAGTTTAGATTACAGCGATTAATGAGTCGGGCACAAAAATGTGTCTACCTTTATTTATTTGCATATTCACCTGTAAGCACTGTCGCATAACACATGTCTGTTTCGCTCGGCCTAGTCCACCGAATTTAACCATGTCGTGACAAAATACACATTCTCCACAGTCCGTTCGCTGACAGGCTTCACATTTCTTACACCTGGAACGAGTGACAAAAAGACAATTAATATAAATTGAAACAATATAAATATGTATGTATTTTATATAATATTTATAAATAACGTTATAGCACCACAATAAAATATAAGGAACAAACAAAAAATAAGCCGTTGTTCTATGTATTATTTTCGACAAAAGTCCTACATTCATTTATACTATCAAATATACCTCGTTCTACGACGTCTAGGGGCATTATTGGCGTGTTCTGGTCGTGGTCGCGCTGGAGCTCCGCGGTGTCCGCCGCGGCCTCTACCACCACCCCATTGACGGATGCGTTCACCGCCGGAGTCGTCTGGACCTATAAATTTTAATCGTACATTAGTATGTAACTACTTAGCCTAACGAATGTTGGAAGAACGATTTATTTGGACAACACTGGATTCAACATCCAGACATTTTAACAGATTTAAACCATTGCACTTTTAATTACTTGGCCTTTTCTTGTGCTCTTAAGCACTTATATATATAAAAAAACCCGTCATAACGGTTTAAAAATATGTTGTTTAATTTGTATATTGATTTTGGTGCACAAAAACAAAATATACAGTTTTTCACTTTTGAAAGGTAGATCAGATCATGTACCAAGGGAATTTACTTTACTTTCATTTCCCGCCAGCGACAATATTATGGTACAAATTCTACCTTTCAGAATGGGCTGTCCAGTGATAGCAAGCTGTTGTTTGTCGTGCCGGTGCTGTTCCACTAAATTCCGGACGTCTCGGACTAGTGCTATTGGATCACTGAGTAACTCCGGCACGGATTTACGAGCCGCCGGCAGTTGGTGAAGATACAATACTATGGCCTGCAATTAAAAAAAATGTATCATAAAAAAGCCGTGCTTAAAAAGAAACTATAAATAATGAGATGTCACTAGATACACGGATTCCACATTTTAAACTCTTTTTGTTATTTGAAGTGCTTATTTGTTAAAAAAAATATTATGAAGTTATTCATAACTTATATTAATTCAACTAAACCCCGGTGTCAGACACCAAATTCAAAGTAATGTAATGTATGCGATAAAAATAAAACTCTAAAGTTATGTAGTATGTTGAACATATAATAAAAACCAAAATTGCTATAATTATTTTCCTTGTGAAAATTCACTCTTATATAACCTAAAGCATAACTTATTTTTATTTTTTCATGGCACTGTTACTGCTACTATTTGTAAATTTTAAATATACTATAAAGATAATAGGATTATATTTATATCTGTATTTTTTTTCGAAATAAACACAAAAAGCTAAAATAAAATATTACCTTGAGTCCATGTAATTCATTCTGCGTTAAATGTATGTGATCTTTGGGTGGCGTGGGCGGTGGATTTTGTCCTTCGGGCGCCAGATGCGAGCGGCCCAAAAGACCACTCACGTAGCGATCTAGGACATACCACAGCATTTCGGTGAAGAACGGATAACGGAACTGCTGGGGCACCTAGAAATTAAAAAAAAATAGAATAATGTATTATCTCACACTTGTATAAATTGTATATACTTCTAATAATATAAAATTTGTTGAGAGCCATAATAAAGAGAGTGCAAGTTCCTAAATATGATATATAAAATAGGAAAATAGCGTAGTACGAATCACGGATTATAAACTCCCGTCCCGTTACACATCTTTCCGTAGCTATAAAAGTAAGTTTCTACGCAGTTGAAACTGACTAATTGGTCAAGACTTTTTTTTATTTGAAAATATATGAAATAATCTCAATAGCTTAGCTAGCTCTTATCAAAAAAAGTCTTTAGCTAATATTAGCTATCTCACCTTGGTAACGTCTTCGACCTGAGCAATCTTCAATTGTTTCTCAATACCGAATTGGTGCAAGAAATTTCCTCCAAAAACAAGTGAATCACTCGGGGTGTACACTGCATGGATCCATCCGGTAGGAATAAAGAAAGTATGCCCAGCTTGTAGCTGAAATTTAAATGTTCAAATTAGAAACAAAGAAAAAATATTACTTCTTGATACAATAGCGTTAATTTATTAAAGCATAGAAATAGAAAAAAATTGTGCAATTCAATTATTAAATACATACATGAACTCTAACGCATTTCTCGACTGTGTCGCCAAAGAATACATCGGATTGTTTGCCGGACAGCACCCATTTTTCATATAACTGCAAGTTCTTTTCTGTTGGCGGAATCAGCCAGAACACCTTTGCACCTGCAAATTTATAATATTCATGGTTTTACAATAGTACAATATGTACAGTTATACACCACGGGGCACATGGCTCGTATAACTGAGGGACGTTGGGGCAAAAAGGTTCTGGAGTGGAGACCACGAACCGGACGTCAAAACCTGAACGACCTCCTACCAGGTAGACCGACGACCTGTTCAAGATAGCAGCGAAACGCTGGATTCAACTAGCGAAGGACAGGTCGTACTGGAAGTTTATGAGAGAGGCCTATGTCCAGCAGTGGACACCGAACGGCTGAATCGATATAACATGGAGTAACATCCTAGCGGCCATCCGTTAAATTGAGGTCTCCAATACAATATTAACATTGATTGTAACTATATTCATAATCGGTTTGAAACTTTAGGCAACCTGCCTAGCTTTGATGATTAGAGGTTGAACTAGTAAAACTCTTAACTCCTCATAGAAATTCAAATGGCTTAACTTAAGAATTTAGTAAACAAATAAAATGGACCTTACCTCTCAAAATATGATACCACACCGAAGTACCACCAAAGTCAATGTGAAAATCAGTATAGCATCCCTTTACGGACATCAAGCAGTACTTCTGCACTTTGGGATACATCATATCATCCAACGCATTAGTGGATTCGGTCTGTAATGTAATTTTATATCATTAACAGAGTATAATTGTAACATACCCTAGGTCTAGTGTCTTAATCCAAAACTTCTGAAAATTTTCCGAATCCATTACTCTTTACTTGAGTTATTAAAGTTCTTCTTTAAAAAAAAGAATAATAGTTATAGAATAAAATCACTTCATTTTAAACGACCAAAACGCAAAAAAATATATTTTTGGGCATTAAAATTCAGGTCCATCAAGGACGGTCGACGACCTAAATAAACTTGATGTATTCGGTCAAAAAGGCTTTACCTGTTGGTCCTTCAAGTGTCTCGGCCATACAGTCTCGACCCAGTCGATGAGGCGTACGATTCGCGGCGCTTGCACGTAATTCTCCAACCGAGTGTGAGAGAACTCCAAGGAAATCACGTTCAAAAGGCGCTCCTTGTTAGGATCGTCATAGTAACGTTGCCAGTCCTGCAATATAATGGGGAATTTCAATGAGATAAGTATTGTCTGAAGTTATTGCAGCGGATAATTTAAATAAATCACTTTGAACAGTTCAAAACACGAGTTTATTGGTTAACTTATTTTAAATTTATTTCGCGTTTTAAACCGTTTCAGGTTTTATTTCTATGACATACTTCTCATGAAAATAAAATTCTGTTTCACTGGTGTCAACAATGTTACCCCGAGATTCAAACCCTGGTTCATTCTTAGCTCAATGTGGTCAGTTACTGACCTTGTTTCTTATTTAAAATTTCTACTACATAATGTAATTGACGTTAGTGAGTGCTATTAAAATTATTTTCGTATATGTACTACACTACTATAGCGACAGAGCGGTTACTATATATACTGGTAACAGAAGTTTAAAACAATAGTCAAATGTCTAAATTGAATATTATATTAGCTTAGCATCAAAAACTGAACTGTTTGCTCCGAGTGGAACATGGGGGCACAACACAATCGACCGAAATATAATATAGTTTTCTCGGAATTCGAACCGACGACCTTTCGCGCTTAATCAATGAGACAGAGGTGCTCTCCTTAGCAGCATTGTTAAAGTCAACCCCATGTCCAACGGTTGTCGTTGTAAATTTTGAAACCTTAAATAATATTATATAATTTGTGTCATATTATGTTAATTTAGTTTATCGTTTGTATTTTTGTGTGCAATTTGGAAATATTTGTTTTAACTATTATCATTGTCTTCTATATCGAGTATGTGAATATATTAATAAAGCGCCCTTTTTACCAAAACAACCGCATACTGTGGTCGAATAACTGTATCACCGATAGGGCCGGACGCAACTAATTCTGTATTTCCTTTGAAAATTCAAGCTATACCTTCATAGTCATTTCGATGTTTTTCTGCGTGTTTACGTCCATTACGTCGAGGAGGCGTCGAGACCCGACGCACATGCGCACATCGTTCACAGTGAAGTTGCTTGTTGGCACTCTGCGGACAAGATCGGACGTGAAACCACGTACGTTCCTCTCTTTAACTTAATTAGCGACGTATAACGCTACGGAAAGCCATAACAACAATAATAGAAGTACACAATTACATATGTCAGGGAAGTTAGTGACGAGGAGTTGAGGGAGTCAAAGTACTTTAGTTTAAAACAATGTCCACTTAAGTGACGAATGGCGCCGTGTAGCCATTTCGTGTCGTAAAAGAGATGAATTTATAGTTGATAAGAATGTATTTCAGTTCATCTAGATAAGGTTTTATTTTGTAATAGAATTTATAATTGATAGATAGATGTAGTGAAATATACACACATATATAAAAGAAACTTCTTTGTTCCAAAAACCATTACTAGCGTTATGGAGTTTTGCACATATTTCTACGAAAAATAATTTATGCTTTTAGAGCTAATAATATTACAAGTATAAAAAGTAGGTAGTACCCTTACGTAAGGGTTTAAGTTACGAAATTTACTGTACTTTTATACAATAAAATTACGCCGAGTCTCTCTTGGTTTTGTTATAAGTCACAAATGAATGCGACGTTATGCTGATGCACGTTATAACTTTATTATCATTTCTAATTTCAATATTAATATCGTCTGCATTGCAACACACGTATCTATAAGTAAGAGTAATTAGTAATAGATATTTCTTCAACCCATAGGTGTCTATTAAATTTATCATTTAATACTAAACATTAACTCCTGTGATAAATTACATGAAAAATAAATAAAATTAAAGCGTATAAAAAAATTTTAGTAGCAGGGAAATTATTGTTTATTAAAAAATATTCCTTTTTTGTTTCAGCGAAATTAAAACTAGATAAACGAGCATTATTTAAATTTAAAATGAGTATTACAGATTATTAATTTATATTTCATTTTTACCAACAGTTAGACATAATGGCGAATACAGTAGTTAAATAGGCCAGTTAATTCTTAACGCAGTGGTCAATAGTAAGTTATCATTAAGTTAGGTCTATTGTTAGTAAATTCGATGAACAATTAGGATAATAACAACGAGTAAGGAAGCTCTTTATAGTTAGAGCGTTAAAAACAATTTAACATAAAAAAAGTATTAGAACTGAGAAGAGGGATGTGCCGATTATTATGGATCTGTTAAGTAGTTTTATCAAGGGATGTTCAGATTTACTTAATACATTTTTACACTAAGACAAACATTGTTAATTCAATATATAAATTTTTCTTTATAAAAGTATCTTGTTACAATAGAATAGAGATATAAATATGTGAAATTATTAACTGAGTTGATGCGTCCACCTCCACATTCAAAATACTTTCTTGAAATTCACTTCAATGTAGTATTTTTATACTAATTCAGTGAGAAGTTCAGGGGTAGGCGTTGTGTGGGATGTAAAACTAGAGAAGGATGGTTGTAGCTTAGTGAACTACGGTTATAATAACATTTATAGTTAACTGCATAAACAACAACAGTTTTTGACTATTCTGTTGTACTTTTTTCAACTAACAATTATAGTTCATGAACAATTAAGAATAGGACAAACATCGAATCATCGTCGGTTAAAACTTAATTTCGACAGCTTTCTCTAAATAACTCAATAAGTATCTTTCAAAAGGCTTTATTAGGTATAGTAAAATCATAGATGATGATAAAATACTTTAATTTAAAATTATAAACAAAATCTTTGCAATATTTAGTTACAACTGGTCTATTATAACAACGAAAGCTTATTTATTTAAATTAAACAATATATATTTTCAGAGCAGTTAACGACAGTTAAATAGAACCAAGATATTTGGCCTCATTTAAATTTCAGTTTAAACCACACGAGGTCTATCTATATTCTTTATCAGATCTGTAATTTCGGTAACTAACCTATGCTTGGTGGTGGCATTTGTGGTTTTCCATGTAACGGCCAACACCTATTTTAGGACACTAGTAACGATAAGATAAATTTCATGTCTAATTACTTTTCTATAGATTAAAAATCTAAAATAAATTGAGAAAAATTTTTTTGACACGTGCAGGACTTGAAACAGCATCGTCAGCGTTCTGTGCTCTTACCAATTGAGCTACACACGTCATCATCGAATTTTTGCAACCTATTGATACATGCACCTGTCGCACAATGTAACTTATATTTTTCTATAATTATAAACCTAATGATTGTACCTAAAATGTAAGCATTCATTTGTTGTAGGTAATGTGTTAGTTCAATTTGTTTTAATTATGTCAATGTATTTTATCTTTCTTTCTCTTTTCCTTTTAAACTTTACTTCCCCTATTTTTTCTGCTATTACCTAACCAGTCCAAAAATCTAAGGCTAAGTGCATCAGACACTCAGTGCACCTATGTGAAGCACTTATTTCTGCTTTGATTTATTTCATTATAAATACGGTAATACAGTTTCTAATGTACAGTTAGTTGAGGAAACGGCATCATTGAAAATCTTTGAATTAAAATCTTAATACTAAGTGCTAGAAAATATAATTTATCTAGGTATTTACACCTTCTTTAATTCGATGACTTATTGATTACTTGGCAATTCTATCGCGATCAAAACAATTCTTAAATTGTCTGGAAAGCTCTAGCTAATAAAGACGAAAATAATCGTAACATTTGAAAAATCGGTCAAGACAATAGGTTATATTATGTGTGTATTTTTTCAGAAGCAAACAGTAATATTATTCAGTTAGGTAGAATATTGAGTGAGACAACAATGTGGTGTATAAGCAAATATCTATCCCTAATAAGAAACACAGTAATACTAAAATTGTACCATATGCATATGCCCATGCTCAAAAAAAAGCTATACCACCGTTTAGTCTACAAAACATATTGCCTATCATTCATTCTAATTCCTTGCTAATTTTTTATATAATCATATTACAATTCACAAATTGAAACAATATTTTCCCCACATGTTATATGTAGTTGCTGCTCCACCAATTGATAAAGCAGCTCAAAGCATTGACATCGAGGGCTCGCCATTTCCTACTTTTAAGATATTAATGTTCAATATAACCTACCAATAATCATTGGGAAAGTTGTTTTCGGCTGAGAAATAAACTTACTATAGGCAGTAGTTCATATATTAAAGTTAGATTCTTTTTAAATTTTACGAAAAGTGCCTATGCCTACCTATTTAATGTATAATAAGCATCTATCATCAATTACAAAGTGGTCAAAAAGCTAAACATCAAACACAACACCTAAAGTCTTGAACTATTTGTCTCAGCTTTGTTTCCCATATATCAAAGGAAAACTAAGCAATATTATGTGTGACCATTACACAACATTGTGTAATAATTTACACTTACCTCAAACCCAGTCCGGCTTTATCCTTAAACAGGAGTGGAGTGGTGAATCCGTGTTTCTGAAGGTAAGTGATGGTGAGATCTGTGCCCTGCATTTCAAGAACTGCACCAGAATGCTCAAACCTGGAGCTATCCAGTTTATCAGCGAGGGAGAAACCTCTACCTCCCTCGGCTTCATCATCACCAAGGGCCCACTCATCGGAGTATAGCTTGCGCTGCTTGCGTTCACGCTGTTAGGAGAAAAATATACATTTAAGGTCTTGAAGTGAATACTAAAAACCAAACATAATTTAAATATATTTCTATATAAACAATGCAATGATTCAGTAAGTGCATATAATTTGAAAACTTTGAAAGTATACGTTGTCAATCAGCGAGGCAATTTCCTAAAGGTTGTTCATACATCTCTCCTTTTGCTGATAATATTGGTACATTTAATTCCCAGAAATGTCTTTGAATATGAAGAAAAAATGTGTATTATTATAGTATAAAAATGTATAAATTGATGCAGATATATTTGTCTGTGTAAATGTCTAGATGTAACAATAGTACAGCACAATTTTATAGAAGTAGCTGTATTTATTAGTCATCCTAATGGCATAAAGCAAGATTTCTTTGGTGTGTGATCAGATTAAAAGTTCACTTTCACTTGCTAAATAAAAAGAAAATTTTGGGTTATTTGCGATGAACTGACAGAAAAAGTTTTAAATAGAAAGTAAGATGCAAGCAAATCTAGGTTTAACTAAACATTAAAAGCAGGAATGTACACAATAGGAATCATAAACTGCATATCTCAAGGCCAACTGTAAGCAAAATGTAAGTTTACCTACCCTAGGTAACATTTGCAGCTAATTAAACTTCCGTAGGCTTTAAGTCAAGAGTTTACACAAAGCAAAACACGGCCGATAGAATTGATCAGTCATTAAAAATATATCTGTATTGTCGCCAGCGGCCGGTCGTAATTGTTCGAAAGAAGATTATTTAGTCGAAATAGATTACGAGCCGAATCGCACTTAGTTCGAAGTTCTGACTCGACGTGTGGGTCGTGTGGACGTACGGCGCACGCCCAGACCGCCTGCCCTCCGCTGCTGCGGGAGGGAAACGCCTTCGCTCCTACCAGATATCTGCTGGATATGTCACTATGACGACGTCGAAGCGGTTCGCCGCATAATATTCATTGTTACTCTTCGCAGTGCTGCGATCTCCGAAACTAATATAGATTTTGACACCTCTTCGCATGCGCGAATGCATACGGCGGCCGCGTTTTAAACTCGTAACGTGATCGCAAAAAGTCCGTCCGACGACTTACACATAATTTAATAAATTACGCCAATACCATTTCGATATTAACTTCGAAATGACTCTCATGACTTACATAAATCAATACACGATGCAGCGATGCACCATTTCATGTTTACGTGATCCCAGATAAAGCCACCATGGCGTCACCCGGGACTAAATACGTAAAATATAACAATAAAAACTCACCAGCTGCCGTGGAAGTTGTTTCTTATTACTTGGCAGTGTTTCCGACATGTTTATGTAAGCCAGAAACACTGCACCACAAAAAGAACACTATTTTACGTAAATATTTTACACGGAGCACGAGAAAAAGTAACGCAATTCACCATTTGCCATGCACGACACTGCTGCCAACAATACGAAATGCAATCATTCTGACAGCGTTGTGAAGGTTGGTACGTTCTAAAATGTGCCATTGGTATGGTTCAACTTAGGAATAGAGGGCGGGAAATTCAAACTCGTTCATAACAAAAACATTGTGACTACTGTACCGCAGTATATTTTTGAGTTTTTAAATATTTATTCAGATAATATAGGTTGAAAGTATTGCATGTCGGGTAGACTGATAGTTAATTTCGTAATTAAAACTATGTAATTAATAACAAATCCCTTTGTTCACTGAGGTTTTAGTTTGTTATACATTTAAATCATTTTATATTGTTTGTTGTAATATCTTATATTTTGCAAGATGAATGCCATGTATTTTTTATACGTCAATCAAGCAATTACTTCTATTGGTTTGTACTATTTTATACTCAAAGTTCCTAATCGCCTAGAATTTCAATACAGTTTGTGTGCAACATTGCTAAAAAGTTTTCATGTAGTTAAAATGCATAACATTCTATATACTTACTATACAAAAATACATTATGGTGAAATATACAAAAATATCTCGGAATTTGTATAATTAGTAATATAGGTAATTAGCCAGGTAGGTAGATTGTTAGTGAAATAATTTTAGTAGTGCGTCTTTTTACATATTTGTATTCATCATACAAATTGTCAAGGAGTACCTATATTTTTGTCTCTTGGTAGATCTGAAACGGATGAACTAATTTTGAAGAATGCTGTTAAAATAAGAATCTTAGATAATGTATATTTTTGTATAATACTCATACAATGTAGTAACGAAAAACAAAAATGTCCAAAGGGCATGTAAAAAAACGCTTTATTTCAATTTTTTATTTCTGCATTTGACATTACATAATTACCTACCTGATATTAGGTTATGTTACCAATTTTTATTATTAACTAAAATAAAAGGTTGGGTAAGGTTTCTTTTTCCGTAGTGAGTACAAGCAAAAAACTAAACAACCCTTAACGTTGTTTTATAGTACTTTAAAATAGGATCTTCTATTATGAATTCGCTATCCATCATTCCGTTATCTTCCATAAACCCAGTGTGTTGCTGCAGCCAATTCAAATACAACCTTAAATACCTGTCTTCAGGTTCCAAATCTGTATGACCTAGACACAACATTCTATACGCATCCTCTCCGTATTTTCCGATACCACATAAGTCGCTCGCACGACGCCATTTTGACGAGACAAACTGATAACTCAACTTCCAAATAATTTCTCCTCGTTTCCTAAGCCCTAGAGTTTCAAAATACTTTTCTAAAGCTGACGGATTGTCACCCAGTACGTGATAGGGTGTCGGGTACTCTTCGAAGAAGTTTTTCATAAACGGTCTAGCTGTTTTGCCTGAGGTTTTGGTTAGGAATATAGTTGCTATTAACATTGCCCATGGGTTGCCACAGAATTCTTCTTCGACTATGCGGTGCGGTGATTGTGGCATTGGTCGGGGGGTGACGTTGAAGAATGGTCGAATATTCAATGGATCCGGTTCGCTTATTGACAGCTGAGATAAGCTTAAGCCATCTGTCTCGGAATCAATTGAGTTTTCGCTTGGACCATGCGAGGTATCTACGGTTTGTAGGGATGATATCGAAATCTCGTCTGCGCTCAAACTGCTATCCCCGAAGAATCTGCTAATACAATCTCGATCCTCAGCCATGTTCTGTAACAAAAAGATGATTTTATTATTATTTTACACATTATTTTTTTAGAGTACGTTTTTTAGATTATGTCATAATATGGCGACTCTGGCCTATTATAATATGATATTGCGTATCTTTTTCAACGGGGTTTGAAATGTTTCCTCAAAAAAAGTGTGTTTTGGGTGACTGTGATCCCTTTTCTGACAACCAGTAACCAACAAGTTCTACCAGAGACACTGAAGTACGTACGTAAATACATTAAAACAGCCCAACTGGCCTCTATAATCGCCAAATTATAATTAATATGAAATTTAATTAATGAAGAAATACAAATAGGCACATTCTTTATTGTGACAAAAAAAAAACAAAACAACAATAAATAATATTATAATAATCTATTATCCAAAACTATATTAATAATTTATATTGTAATATAATAATAAATAAATATAATAAATACCTACAAGTATACAGTGTCATATAGTTTATACAAAATAGGTGCCGTAATGTAAATAAATTATCGTAATACTAAGTATTTTCTAAGTCCTGTACATGGTATACCTACAAAAATAAATACATATTCGTCATTCTTACTGCCAATAAGCCATATCACCATTCATACAACCGTGTAAAATCTCACAATCACAAAACTGAAACATTGTTTGTCACTTGAGAAACAGAATCTGTTGTTTTACCTTAAAATATTAATTTTGCATGGGTATTTAAGTATTGGTCCCACTCGGTTTTGTACGTGTTGTGAGTGTAATATAATGTAATGTGAGAGGAAGGTGAATATCGAAGCTGAAAAAGCACCCTTAGGTACTTTAAGGGTGCTTTGTGCACTTAATTATAAAACATGGCACGGTACTAATAAAAATAAATACATAACTAAAACGTATTAATAAAAACTTAAACCAACATTTACAGTGTTTACGAGCCCCTTACCATAAATTGTACATTATTACCGCACTCCGTAGTCAATCGTAAATATTTCCTACTTTACTTCAAGGTGGTTAACAAGTACGGAAATCTGAGAGAGAAGATTATTCAATTACTTATATCGTAGTAAGCACACATATGCCTTAGTATGTTGTTAATTTAAGTACAAATTCATGCTATATCAATGTTTCTTGGCGTGCATACCGATGCAAGCGACAGTTTGTTTTATGTATACACACATTAAATATAATAAACACCTCGGTATGATCTACACTATATTATAAACATAATATTTTAAAGAGTTTGTATTTTTGAATGCGCTAATCTCAGGAACTACGTTCGAATTGAAATATTATGTCTTGGATAGACCCTTTACAGAAGGCTTTTAACTATATAACATTACCCCCCTCGGGGCACCCTTGGTCTAGCCGCAAACACGGCGAGCGCTATCGCGCTCGCCCAAAACGCCCGGTTAGTATTCGTGGCTCCTTAGGAACACAATATGTAAGTCCATTCAAAAAAAAAAATTCATGCTATATCAATGTTTCTTGGCGTGCATACCGATGCAAGCGACAGTTTGTTTTATGTAATAATACACATATGAAATATAATAAACACCTCGGTATGATCTACACTATATTTAGTGTTGCCCAAATTCAGTCTTGGTCTTGCAGTCTTGGTCTTGTTCTTGCGTTTTTGCAAGACCAAGACCAAGAACAAGACCGCGTATTTTTAGCAAGACCAAGACCAAGACTGACCGTGCAAGACTTGAGCAAGAACAAGACATAGCCTGCAAGACTCTTGCGTCTTGCAGCTAGGACTTAGCGCTATTTCACTGAGTAGTTAGGTGTATAGGTAGGTACGCTTAGGAATTCTATGAGACGCAAAAAACTGTATCAAAGAATATGAAAAACTGGACCTATGCGCATTACGACTAATACCATAAACATAGCGAATAAAAAAAATATTAAAATCAAACTGAGTGCATGCATAGTTATGTTTTAACCATCGGGACTTTGATAATGCGGCATCAAAGGTTTTGTACTTACTTCTCAAAGAAATTTGCCGCTTTTCGGAAGTACATGGTTATGATACACGCGCCGGCGGCTTCTTTTGAAATCTAAAACAATCGTTGCCGCCACGCCGAAATCATAACATTTGACACTATTTGATTGCCGCCATAGGGCGTAGGTATACTCATGCAAAATAATTTCGAATTTTTTACACGCTTTATATTATTGTTAACATAGAAATAGCCAGATGGTTACTTTGTATTAATTCTTGGTCAAAAAAATTGATATAAAGTATCATAACCTAATGATAAAGCTGTTGATTTGTGTTGTATTTTATTTTTTATTCAAATAAATGATAAATCGTAAAACTCTTTTATTAAATTTCTTATAAGTTGAGGATTCAATCTCTTTTTAGACAGATAAGTATTGTTCTTTAAAATACAGTCAACTTATTGTAATTAATTTGTTTTTTTACATGTTTTAGCAAATGTAAGCTTATAAATCATAAATGTTTATTAAGAAACAGTTACTTCCATGGAAAACGACATATAGGTCAGTTGATTTTTCGAATTTCTTATCAAATCTTCAGTTATTTATTAATCTGCTTGATCTTTACTATGGCTATATTCATTCAAGCTCACAATGTTCCAATTTTAATACGTTTTTCTAGGATTTAAAGTAAACTTTAATAAATAGTAATAGACTAATAGGTAATTGAAAGACTTGCAAGACTCTTGCTGCAAGACCAAGACCAAGACCAAGACTGGGAGCGCAAGACCAAGACCAAGACCAAGACCAGGTGTATTGGCGCAAGACCAAGACCAAGACTGGCTAAGTCTCGTCTTGTTCTTGCGTTTGGGCAACACTAACTATATTATAAACATAATATTTTAAAGAGTTTGTATTTTTGAATGCGCTAATCTCAGGAACTACGTTCGAATTGAAATATTATGTCTTGGATAGACCCTTTACAGAAGGCTTTTAACTATATAACATTACCCCCCTCGGGGCACCCTTGGTCTAGCCGCAAACACGGCGAGCGCTGTCGCGCTCGCCCAAAACGCCCGGTTAGTATTCGTGGCTCCTTAGGAACACAATATGTAAGTCCATTCAAAAAAAAAAAAAAACATTATGCTGTGACATCATTGGAAAATGAGAAAAATACAGGAAAAATTATTCATCTCAGCGAGTTTTCGGTGCGTGTGCTGCGAAAGCAATTGAAGAGATCAAAGATATGTATGAAAAAATGGTTACTCTTCAAATGAACTTAAAAAAATAAGACCGACAATATATATCTTTTCAAAGGACGGGAAGCGAGCGACGTCGTACTTGAAAATATCACGATAGACTTTCTATATAAAGTAGGTACTAAGTGCTCGAGAGTAAGTGAATTAAGTTTTCTATTTTTAATAATATAACGAATAAAAAATGAAGTCTCGTCACGTTGTAGGTAATGGACGTTAAAACTGTGCAAACATATAAATACAACGGTGTTAATTTGATGACAAGCCGTGAAAAAAATTTGCACCAACACGCTCGTCCGACACACAACTTGTGGATTTTAATTAAAATTGTTTTCAAAACACACACTTGCTATTCGTTTTGCAAGAGACTTCGCACAAAGCAAGTGATAAAGTTAAAAATGATTTTCTGCTGTGCACAATGGAGTAATAAGGAATGAGTAAGCGATTAAAGAATATTGTAAAAGTACATTAAATATACTTTAATGCATTAAATTAACGGTTTATAACGAGAAATATACTGACCCCTGACTGATTAATGCACCCCTGCACTAAGTACCTATCTAGAGATACAATTAAATATATCTAGTACTAAATACTGTCTGTAGCTTACGCGAGTAGTACATTTAAATAAAACACTTTAACGGTGTAAAACGCGATATATTAGTTACTCTTATTTGACGTCACTGTGAGTCTTCCCGTAACCAGGGCTGCTTCAAAGCATCCGAAACGTCGGGCCGTAGTTAAAATAATTTTCAAATAACTTTAACTAATATATTATACTTATATCGCGTTTTAAACCGTGAAAGTATTTTATTTACACGTAGTTCACATTTTACTAATATTTATAATAGGACATACTTCAAGTCAGATATTCATCTAAGCGCTTAGCCTAAATACGAAATATTTTTCACTTTAACATAATAATAAGCCAAACTTAACGCTCGTACAAGTCATTAAGTAGAAATTAGGCTGTTTGAGGTTTTAAATATTACACAACTAGCCCATTCCTAATTGATGAGTTATTTATGAATTAAGTAACAATATACAAGTACCGTTAGAAATGCTATAGATTATAGGGTATAGATTATCTATACACATATTATAAAGGTGAGGAGTTGTTTGTACGCGCTAATCTTAGGTACTACTGGTTCGAATTGAAAAATTCTACACATCATACTGCGGCCCATCGGAGCAAAGAAACAGTGGGAAATGTAAAAAAAAAAACATCTTTGAGGGTTTCTGTTGCGTGCGCTGCAAAAACAGTTTAGGATACCTAAATGATGTATAAAAGAATGATTCGTCTTTAAATCATCTAAAAATATGGCCACGACACTATATGTATTTTTTTAAGATTGGCTTGCAAGAACGACGGGACGCGACCGACGACGTGGGTAAAAGCTATAAATCACAAAAATGAGGATGAGGTTTGAAAAAACAAATTTTGTTTCCTAAAATACCTATTCTGCGCGGACAAAGTCGCTGGCACAGCTAGTATATATAGATAAGAATACTTCGAACCTCGAATAACTCAGCAGGTGCATCAGAATAGCTGGCAGACAGCAACAGTGATTAATCTATTCATTGGCTTCATTACGATTTCCCATACTAAATAGTAAATAACGACATTGGACGGGAGTGCATCGAAGAAAATAAATCTCGATGTGTTTGGGCCGCAGTCCGTTTATTCCGAGTCGCACTATCGCGATAGACGCACGTGCCGCGCGCGAATCGATAAAAAATCGTAAAAGAACAACAAAAATCGGTAAACGATATCGCCGGCTCGAGTCACTTGTGCGAATCGTAACATTTTATCGGTAACCG